TGCAGATGCATTTTGAAAGGCTGCTGATAGCAAATTGCAGTAAGTCCAGTTCAACTTAGATGAAGCAAATAACACTGAAGAAAAATTGACTAAAAAGGCGAATTACTTGACAGTCCAAGTTGATCAACTCACTGATGAGAAGAAGAAGAATGAGCAAGATTTGGAGAAATTGGACAAAATGATCAACGACTTGAATGCTGAAGTCGACAAGGCACAGAGACAACTTGACACTGCAAATGATGACAAAGATGGCAATGAAGCGATGAAATAGAAATACCAAGACAAACTGAAGAGCATTAGAACTGAACTTGATCAAGAAAAGAAAGACCACACTAAGACCCAATTGATTAAAGGAAAGTACGAGAATGATATCGCTGAAATCATAGTCAGAGCTGAAACATTTGAGAAGAACGTCCATATGGCCGAACAAGAGAAGGTCAAGACTATAAGAGATTATAAGGCTGCTTCTGAAGAATTGATGAGAACAAATACAGAACTCGATGAGAAACAAGACGAATGCGATAAACTTGAAGACGATATGTCCGAGATGAAGACTGAATTGGAGGCTCTTGAACAAGTTGCTAAGACTTATATCATCACCACCAAATGCAAAGAGACCGAGACTGTCTTGAGGATAAATATATAATTCACTATTTGTGTAATTTCTACCCTTACAAAACTTTTTTGGATTCAAAGTGCCGCCTCTCACAAGTGAAAAGATGTAAGAACTGCCACCGTTGATATATTTGCTAACAGCATTTATATTTCCAGTGTACACGCCACCAATCTTGTTTTGTTTTGTGTCTTCAATTAAAAAGCACAAATTGCTTTTGTTTATAATTTTAGCACCAAAGACAGAATTGATCTGTGACCAGTCGTCTTTGTCTGAGTTAAACACAACACTCTCAATCTTCATTCCTGTCATTTCCTCAATACCAGCTTTCTCTTCAAGCGTAATGTGTTCTCTCTTCATTTTCTCGGCTTCTTCATCGTGTTGTTTCTTTGAATTGATGAATTTCTCTGATTTCATAATTTGATCAACTGCTTTGTTCTTAGCTTGGACAATTGTGTAGGTTTTGTCTTTAGATAGTTTTATGTCCATTTGGCACTTTTTCTCAAGAAGTGCAATTCTGAGATTGCATATCTCATACAACTTGTTGTTGTCACTTTGTGTTGAATACAGAGTCATTTCACTTTTGATTTTATTTGATGTGTTATCCAAATCGGTGACAATTGTGTTGAGTGATGTTGTGATGTTCTTCTTTATCTCAAATACCTCATCAAGTCTGTCGAAATATCCCTCTGCATTTTCAATGCGTTGTTCAATACCAAAATACTTGTTGTCAACAAAGTTGTCTTCTTTTTTTATTTTTTTGAAGTCTGACACCGCCTTTGCTGCGTTAGTGCAGAGTGCTGAGAGTGCTGTTAACTCGTTTTCCATTGTATGTTAATAGAGTTTATTTGTTTTTATATTTAATTTTATATAATCTCATTCAAAAACATTATTACCTCATACATAATGATTTTTTTCCTAATCAAAAACCAAAAAGAAATCATTCAAACTTACATAAATGATTTTAATTTCAAGCAGGGTCTATCACGGAACAGGAAAAAATTTGGAACTTGTCCCAAAAATGCATTTTAAAATGAAAAGGGGTATATTTTCTTTGTTTTTGTGCCAAAAATAAAGTAGTTTTAGTAAAATTCATAGTTATGTTTGTTTTTGCGATCTCCAAAACCTTTTCTTTACAGATGGAAACTTTTTGCCGCGGTCATTTTTAATGTTAAAACGACAGTTAACAACAAAACTATAAAATATTAAAATGTATAGTATATAAACAAATGGTTTATTAATATAATATTTATATTATACAAAATAAAACTATTAATTATAATTGATAATATTATAAAATATTAAAAATTGTTTAATAAAGATGAAATAATAATTTAATTTATTAAAATACAATTTGTTATTAACTATACTTTTTTTTAACATAGTTAAGTGAAAACCACCAGAACAAAGCTACTATGCGATTACTTGTTAAAATTGATTTGTTATTGCTTTTCATCACTTTCAAACATCAAATAGTGGTTTAATATACCAAATTAATATAAAATGTAATAAAATGGACTATAACAAAACATTGAATCACAATACTTGGTGTTGTTGATAAATTTAGGTTGTTTTATAAACGTGCAATACTTTGATAGAACAGAAAAGTTATTATTTGCAGATAAACAAGTGAAACTACTCTGTTCATCATTGATGCATTAACAGAGTGTTTGAAACAAAACTCCACTATTATGCACATTCTATTGTTTAATCTTTTTGTTTATTTTATCAAAGCTATTATTGAATCATATATTTACCATATTGATAAGTAATATATTTACTTAAAAACTGTCAGTCAGTTTGTTTGTTGATGTGTTTTAATATAGATCATAATTAAATTATTTTAAATTAACAATTATAATTATAATTATTGATTTTATATATAAAATGTTAAAGAATATTATATAAAAGTACTATAAAAACAAGTCAGTGAAAAAAAATCTGGTTAGTTTTAAATTATAATAAAAATTAATATTTATTGTTATATGTTATAAACATTTAAAACAAGCACTTTAAAATTAGATAATAATTATCGGGTCAACGACATCATTTTAATCCAAATATTAATTCATAACTTTGTTATTTGTATCAATAAAATGCTTTTTCGTCGCATTCCTCTTTTTAATTTTTTTTATTTTATTAAAAAAAGAATCAACTTTTATTATTTTTAAATTATAATTATAATAACAGTTTTCACATTAAATATCAGGTGATAAAATATGTTTTCAATAGTACATAATAAGATAGAGACACTCATCATAATGAATAAAAATTATATGTATTTATAAAGTTGTTTACATAACACACGAATTAAATAATTAACACTTTTTTGTTGTTCTGTTGTTTACTTACACAGCTTTATTACTGGTCAATATTAAAAATTGACTATTATTTGATATAAAGTTATTATTATCTTGATGTACATGTTACAATCTATCGCCGATACGTGTTGTTAATCCATTTTTAAATATCTTTTTTTATAAAATGCTTGTCACTTACATTACATATACACATCAACTTATTTTAAACATACATTCTAATTTACATAATGTGTGTTTTTTGTACAAAATCATATAATGTTTGGTTCGTTAAACCAAACACAATTTATTTGTATTATAAACTCGGTATCTTAGTCTGCACGCAGAAATAACATTCAACAACTTCTTTGTATCTTTGGTGTTGTCTTTCTTAAAATTTTTGTTGTTCAACAATTGTTTTTGTTTATAATCAATTTGATATACCTATCTAACACTTTTTATTAATTATTTATCAAGACTTCCATTATTTTCAACTGTTAATGTTTTTTATGTTTTTATCACATCATATTGAAATATGATACATATGTTAAACGTATAACATATTAAAGTATTAAAAGTTTTCATTATAATACCATTACTTCTAATACCTTTTTATTTTTTATTAGTAAATTTAATCTCATTTACATTACAAATACTCTTTTCTAATTTTTAACTATTTTTTATTATTTAACCTCTTTTTTAAATTTCAAAAACTTGTTTGTCTGTCTGTTTATACAATTACTATTTAAAACAATAATTAGTTCATCAAACAAAAGATAATTCATTTATAATTTTATCTTTTCTTAACACGTTTCCTTGTTTCCCTGTTAATTTTTTTATTAGGCAGTGTTATTTTTTTCTTTTTTTGTCGTTTGGTCTTTTTAAAAAGACTGTCATGCCTGTTTTATTTTTTCTTAACATTTTTCTGCACATGGATATTACTCAAACCAACTAACAAATAAGAACTAGTTTAAATAAGATATTATATCGAAGATATAATTTTTATATTTTTTCGGGATTTACGCAATAGAAACATCAGAAATCCCGAGACATATATTTTCAAGCCGATAAAATTTTTAGTATTAGGCGATGTACTTGGAGTGTCCAAAACAGATTCACTATCAAGTACATTTCAACCACCTTGAATGTCATTGTTATTGAATATATAAATTAATATATACATTACATATAACAAACATGTTCACTTATTGTTGTAATACATTCTATAACACAGTTTGTTGTAGTTCAATGAATTGAAAAGATAATAGTTTGCTGACTTGTCTGTTTTGCGTTTTTTCAATTCTTTGTAATACGTTCCGTTGTTTTTATCCAACTTATTGGTGTGATTGTTTCATTTTTTTACTAAAAATCTATCTAAAATTTAATTTAATTGTTTTTGAGATGTGAACAAAAATTCTGAGTTGGTGAAAATAAAATTGAAAAATATAACAAACTATATAGTTCTTAAAACAACTATATTTTATGTTTCAAAAAATAAACTAATAATTAATTAGTGATAAAAAAATGAACAGAATAACAAGATCAATTAGACTATCAACACAAACACCATTGTCTTTGTTCTTTCAAATATAATATATTTTTCAAACATATTCAATTTGACAAAAAAATAATTGTGAATATCGTTTCTTAAACAACGCGTCGAAAGTAAAGAACTATAACTCCAACTATAATCTTCGGGACAACATCGTTTTCGTTGTTGTTTAAAAACAGTAAAACCTTGGTGTATTTACAAAGTCGTTATTTACTATTGATAAAATGGTATAATTACATTAATATCATTATTACTTTATAAAATCAAATGAAAATATTATCATAGTAATACTTTCAAAGTAATGGTTTAATATAAATAAAAAATAGTAAGGCTAAGTTTTTATTATTCAAAAAATAGATTGAAGCAAAAACGGTATTATGGTAAAAAAATTTACAGAAAAAAACACACAAAAAATAAAACCTGTTAAGGAACTAAACTTGAATAAAACGATAGTTAGTAAAAATTAACTATCGTTCGTATTAAAAAATCATCACATGTTATTATTAAAATTAGTAAAAATAATTATATTTATAGTATATTACTTATTAGTAAAATACTATTAAGAAGCGCAAGAATAACGTACAACTGAAATAAATAAATAAATATACAAGTTAGACAAACATATATATGTAGATATTTAAAAAAAATGAAAAAATGAAAATAATTATAAAACTATTATTTCAAATTATTCCAATTCACCTCGATAAAATTGATGTTTTGAATACGTAAACGGAGTTTTGTAGTTACAGAAAAGTTTTTGAAATGGCTTACAAAAGCGGAGCTTCGAGACAGTGAATTCTCCGCAACGACATACAGCTGGTAAGATGGGACATATGTGGTGTTTGTTGAGCCAAAACGTGGTTCCGTTGGTGTTGTTTTGTATTTGTATTACTACTACACACAAATGACACAAACAACTGGATTAATTAAAGACGAAACAGTCAAACAACGAATTAGAAATTTGGTGAATTTCTTGTTGTATCGAGATTGGAAGAATATTATTAAGCCAGACTATTCGATTTGGGAGGAAAGCAGCGACGCATGGACTTCCTTAAGTATCCCACTGCAGTACTATGGATTCACACAAATTCAAGGCCACCGTAAATTGTTGGCGGCTGCTATGGAAGAGAAGTATTACAAAGATACTAAAAGAGCCGAATTACAGAGAAAGAGAACGCAGGACCTATCAACTTCATTCGAGAAATTGTTCTGGAATGAAGAGAAAGGACACTTCGTCCAAGTCATTTGGCAGGACAACAAAAAGTGATCATCGACACATCGACTGCAACTATGGCGTTCAGTGACATTGTAACTGATCAAATAAAGATCAAAAACACTTCGATAGCATCAGAAGGTTCAACACCAAACTTGAACACGGTTTTGCTAAACATCCACAAGACTCATACTTCTATTTTTCAAAGTGGAATATTAGAGGAAAAGAAACTGGTCAAACAAACCTACTATGGGGAGAAGCTGTAGACGGAATCACTGGCGCTAATTATGTCGTCAATGCCTGATGTATACGAACAATCACATTACTCGAATGTTGAATAATTTTAAATATAAACAATCCTTATTTAGATTGTTTATATTTAGAATTATTGTGCAAATTATGTGCTTGGGTAAACAACTTGGCATATTTGACTATTTATCGGGTTTTATGGAAAAAATTCCCGTTTTTTAGTGTATATTATTCGACTGTTGGGACAAAAATAATTTAATTGGTTTTTTTTAATTTGAAATTTACAATTATTGAGTTCAATTGAGTTGTTTTTCAAAAATTATTTTTAAAACAAACAGAAAATCGCGATATTTCATTTGGAATTATTCCAGCGACCATCCGCGGGTTATATAATATTTATATTATTAAATAATAACTTTAATTCGTATTGTTAAAATTATAAAATAATGATAAAATAATCATTTTATTGTGTTTGTGTCGGTTTATAACGTGGACAGTCTTTAATCACTTCAGACAAGACACTTGGTTTATTTGTGATTTCATTTAACTTTTTACATGCTTGTATATGAACTTTTTGAACGTCTTCACAAAGCACAATTTTTTCAAGGTCATCACATGATTTTACAACAAGACTTTTGACACCCTTTTCACACACAATAGTTTCACATTTTGCCCAACTGATTTTTTCTTTTTCCTTTTTTGCAGTGTAAACATATTTTAATCGATTAGAAGCTTTGGTGTTGATTTTATTAATTACTTTTAAATCTTTATCGCCACGAATTTCTTCAAACTTGGCTTTCCCCAAATCAAGACTTTTCACCAATTCGTGAACTATTAAAGTCTTAGCAAAATACTTTGGTTTTGTCTCAATAAAAATGTTGGTAGCTTTAATAAACAGGAGATCAACAATGTTCGATTTTTGAGTGATAACAACAAATGCATCTTGAAGTAAAACATCAAAAGTGATTGGATGCACCCCTTCCGTGTGACAGTAGAAGCTGCACCCGCATTGCTTGACATTTCCATAAACATTGAAAAATAATTTAAATATATTCTTTTGATTTTCATTTGAATTATAATTTTGGCCTTTGTACACAACTTGGTAAATTGAAGATACAACTTTATCTACATCTTTACATATTAGATTGTATGCACTGTTTTCCTTGTACCCTATATGAACATCAGATGGTTCTATAGTGACTTGTTTGGCCTTTTCAATACGAGTTTCACGTGGCATACAACTATTATGAAACATCAATTGAACTTCGACGTTATCAAATGAAGGCACTTTTGTAGCGTTTAATATTAAAATTTTGGTGAAAATTTGATTACTAAAAATGATTTTCAGAACGATGTCACTTCCTTCTTCACTGTAAATAGACCAGTCCGGTCCTATAATTTGAAGTTTTTTGTACTCCGCCAAAGCCTCCATCTTTTTGTCTACTGGAAGGTTTGTGAGTATTGACACGTCGCAATTTTTGAGTGTGAATTTTCCTTTTTCAAACAAGAAAATTTTCGATGAGGTAACATTAATTAATTTAACAAAAGATTTTTTGTGTGTTTGAGTGAGTGAGTTACTTTTGTCCATCACAACATTTGCCGAGTTGGAATACGTCAGTGAATTAAAAGTACAATTATTAAGTACAACTCCATCACTGAACTCTATAAAGCCCACTTTAATATTTGAATTGTTTATTGTAAGATTGTCTACTAAATGTACTTTAAGAGTGTAAAAAGAATTATACTGTGATGCGTCGGTAATTACAATAGACTTTGTTTCACACAAATTTACATATCCAACAACTCCAACTATTGTAATAGAAACATTAGAAGAGCATCTACATATCACTTTGTCGACTGCACTTATCGTAAATTTAACATTTCTGCACTTTTGAAATTGCAATCGAGTCGCATAAATAGGAGCGACTGTAACATCAGAAACTTCAAATAGATATAAACAACTCACTTGGCGCGTTGTTAAAACGACGTTGTGAATGAAGTCGTCCAGTAATACTAAAGTGTCTGAATTTGATGCTATTTCCA